CTTTAGAATTTCTAACGTTTCATTAAATATTTATTTATACAACGGTATAATAAATTATAATTATGTTTTTAAATTCAATAGTACATATAACCAAACGAAAGACAAACAAAAATCTTAATTTCTAATTCTACGACATAATCAGAATTTTTTTTTACAAATTTCTTATAGGAAGCAACATAGAAAACAAAATAACTAGGTCTAAGACATTTCCCCAAACGGAAAGACTTAAAAAAATGAAGCTAAAATATGTTACTACTTTGTCTATCAACTCTTTCTTTATGTTTAGTCATACCAAATGTGTTTTATGTTCATAAACGTATAGACAGACATCAGTCAGTGGAAGATCAGCAAGTTTTCTCATCATTATTATTATCTTCATTATCTTTGCTATTATTGTTAAATATTTGTTGGTCATAATTATCATATCATAATTAGTAATATTTGACTGAGTTTAACCATTCTGTGCTTTATGTTAATTATGTTAATTTGTACGGGAAAAAGAATAAAAAGAACAAATTTTCATATTTAAATACAACAACAGATGTCTGAAAATAGAGAAATTAATGTTAAAACGGAGAAAAAAATATTTATGAATTTGAAAACAATACCAAAAGAAATTGATATTTGAGTTTAGAATTTAGGTAAATTATAGCTAAGAGGCAATTATCACTATTTGCTCTTCCTTTCTTTTGCATTACATTCTAAAAATATTTGTACATTTGAGCCATTTTTTAAAATTAACTATTAGTGGCAGATAAATTAGGAAACCCCAATAAATCTTATATTGACCTATTGGATGTCGGCGTTTAATGTTACTTTTACCCAACCGATATTAATTAGTCAACGGTAAATATTCTACTTATTTTTATGTTATCAAGTTTCTCTTTAGAAAGAGAGAGCTTCTTCTTTTTTTTAGCTCATTGATTTAGTGTCTTAATTTATTTGACATGATCTTGTAAAGCTATCAAAATTTACTGTTATTTATATTATTATGCAGACTTTTTTTTAATGGACCCTTATTTTTACTTGCTTTGTATTCTTTTTATTTGTTTTGTTTTATATGAATTCCGTTCTTTTTTGTTTAATTTTTATGCAAATTTAACATTTGTTAAATTTTGTTTGTTTGTTTTTTTATGAATTTTAATTTAAAATAGAACGTTCGCACTTTAAAAAGTTTATCACTAAACTAAACTATAAATAAAGTAAATTTTTGAAAATGTAAAGAATTAAAAATAGTTTCAAATTGTTTTTATTGATAATTTTAAACGTATTGTTATGGAACAGTTAAAATTAGTTGAAAGCTATTTTAAGGTAGCTTAAACGTTTTGTAATATTTAAGGCATATTTATCTTAAAAGTTTTAATAATGGAATATAAACTTTTTTAATGTAATTTTAAAAGTTTAAAGATTAATTTAGTATTATAACTGTAGTTATAGTTATTGAATTCTTTACTTAAGAGAATCAATCAACAAAGTTATTAATGACTTTGATAAAGTGAATATTTTTTTTAAAGGGTCTAGGGTCTATAGTCTAGTCTATAGTCTAGTATATAGTCTAGTCTATAGTCTAGTTTATAGTCTAGTCTATAGTCTAGTATATAGTCTAGTCTATAGTCTAGTCTATAGTCTAGTCTATAGTCTAGTATATAGTCTAGTCTATAGTCTAGTCTATAGTCTAGTCTAGTCTATAGTCTATAGTCTAGTCTAGTCTGTAGTCTAGTCTAGTCTAGTCTATAGTCTAGTCTAGTCTAGTCTAGTCTAGTCTAGTCTAGTCTAGTCTAGTCTAGTCTAGTCTAGTCTAGTCTAGTCTAGTCTAGTCTAGTCTAGTCTAGTCTAGTCTAGTCTAGTCTAGTCTAGTCTAGTCTAGTCTAGTCTAGTCATAGTCTAGTCTATAGTCTAGTCTATAGTCTAGTCTATAGTCTAGTCTATAGTCTAGTCTATAGTCTAGTCTATAGTCTAGTCTATATTCTAGTCTATAGTCTAGTTTATAGTCTAGTCTATAGTCTAGTATATAGTCTAGTCTATAGTCTAGTTTATAGTCTAGTCTATAGTCTAGTATATAGTCTAGTCTATAGTCTAGTCTATAGTATAGTCTATAGTCTAGTCTATAGTCTAGTATATAGTCTAGTCTATAGTCTAGTCTATAGTCTAGTCTATAAATTATAGTCTATAGTCTATCTAGTCTATTCTATAGTCTAGTCTAGTCTATAGTCTAGTGTAGTCTAGTCTGTAGTCTAGTCTATAGTCTAGTGTAGTCTAGTCTATAGTCTAGTCTATAGTCTAGTCTGTAGTCTAGTCTATAGTCTAGTCTATAGTCTAGTCTATAGTCTAGTCTATAGTCTAGTCTATAGTCTAGTCTACAGTCTAGTCTATAGTCTAGTCTATAGTCTAGTCTATAGTCTAGTCGATAGTCTAGTCTATAGTCTAGTCTAGTCTAGTCTGTAGTCTAGTCTAGTCTAGTCTATAGTCTAGTCTAGTCTAGTCTAGTCTAGTCTAGTCTAGTCTAGTCTAGTCTAGTCTAGTCTAGTCTAGTCTAGTCTAGTCTAGTCTAGTCTAGTCTAGTCTAGTCTAGTCTAGTCTAGTCTAGTCTAGTCTATAGTCTAGTCTATAGTCTAGTCTATAGTCTAGTTATTAGTCTAGTCTATAGTCTAGTTTATAGTCTAGTCTATAGTCTAGTCTATAGTCTAGTCTATAGTCTAGTCCATAGTCTAGTCTATAGTCTAGTCTATAGTCTAGTCTATAGTCTAGTCTATAGTCTAGTCTATAGTCTAGTCTATAGTCTAGTCTATAGTCTAGTCTATAGTCTAGTCTATAGTCTAGTCTATAGTCTAGTCTATAGTCTAGTCTATAGTCTAGTCTATAGTCTAGTCTATAGTCTAGTCTATAGTCTAGTCTATAGTCTAGTCTATAGTCTAGTCTATAGTCTAGTCTATAGTCTAGTCTATAGTCTAGTCTATAGTCTAGTCTATAGTCTAGTCTATAGTCTAGTCTATAGTCTAGTCTATAGTCTAGTCTATAGTCTAGTCTATAGTCTAGTCTATAGTCTAGTCTATAGTCTAGTCTATAGTCTAGTCTATAGTCTAGTCTATAGTCTAGTCTATAGTCTAGTCTATAGTCTAGTCTATAGTCTAGTCTATAGTCTAGTCTATAGTCTAGTCTATAGTCTAGTCTATAGTCGTCTATAGTCTAGTCTATAGTCTAGTCTATAGTCTAGTCTATAGTATAGTCTATAGTCTAGTCTATAGTCTAGTCTATAGTCTAGTCTATAGTCTATTCTATAGTCTAGTCTATAGTCTAGTCTATAGTCTAGTCTATAGTCTAGTCTATAGTCTATTCTATCTATAGTCTAGTCTATAGTCTAGTCTATAGTCTAGTCTATAGTCTAGTCTATAGTCTAGTCTATAGTCTAGTCTATAGTCTAGTCTATAGTCTAGTCTATAGTCTAGTCTATAGTCTAGTCTATAGTCTAGTCTATAGTCTAGTCTATAGTCTAGTCTATAGTCTAGTCTATAGTCTAGTCTATAGTCTAGTCTATAGTCTAGTCTATAGTCTAGTCTATAGTCTATTCTATAGTCTAGTCTATAGTCTAGTCTATAGTCTATTCTATAGTCTATTCTATAGTCTAGTCTATAGTCTAGTCTATAGTCTAGTCTAGTCTATAGTCTAGTCTAGTCTATAGTCTAGTCTAGTCTATAGTCTAGTCTATAGTCTAGTCTATAGTCTAGTCTATAGTCTAGTCTATAGTCTAGTCTATAGTCTAGTCTATAGTCTAGTCTATAGTCTAGTCTATAGTCTAGTCTATAGTCTAGTCTAGTCTAGTCTAGTCTAGTCTAGTCTAGTCTAGTCTAGTCTAGTCTAGTCTAGTCTAGTCTAGTCTAGTCTAGTCTAGTCTAGTCTAGTCTAGTCTAGTCTAGTCTAGTCTATAGTCTAGTCTATAGTCCAGTCTATAGTCTAGTCTATAGTGTAGTCTATAGTCCAGTCTATAGTCTAGTCTATAGTCTAGTCTATAGTCATTATATGTTGTTGTTATATGTACATATGTGTATACTTGACGACTGATGTTATTGAAAAATTTGGTGTCAATTTAGTACATGCCGTGTATATTTTTCTCTCTCTGTGTATGTTTTTATGTTCACTATTGCGTAAAAACTAAAAAGTACCACTTAAATAACGAAAAAGTACCTACAGATTTTCATTCGCCCAGGACTGTGAATGTTTAATTTTATGTTACTAGGTTCAATGTTACAGAAAATTCGAAAAGTACCTTCTGAAGAACGAAAAAGTACCAAAAAGCGACCTTTTATGGGGTTATTTTAGGCTCTATATTCATGTTTTTAGGATCTCTGATTTCATGTTTCTTGGTTCAATATTATGGAAAATTTAAAAGGTACCTTTTGGAGAATGAAAAAGTGCAAAAAGTCATCTTATATAGGTTCTCATTTAGTCCGGGTTCTACATGGTTAATTTCATGTTTCTAGGTTTAATAATATAGAAAACTTAAAAACTACCAGTTAAAGAAAGTACCAAAAAGTCCTCTTTTATAGGTTATCATTTACTTCGGGCTCTACATGCTTAATTTTTTGTTTCTAGGTTCAACATTACAGAAAACCCAAAGGGCACTCGTTAAAGCACCAAAAAGTACCTTTGTATTTCCTTCTGGTTCTTCATGCTTAATTTTATGTTTTCTCAAAGTCTTGATATTTTTTTATCGTAACGATATATTGACAGTTTTCAAATAAAAATTATTTTACCGGCAGAATATCTACCGGTTAAATAATAACAGGAAATTGAGATTATGGGCCTAAGTGAGTTCGTCGGTAGCGTTTCCTGATTTCCAAATCTATTGATAGAGAGTAGTAATTATAGTCTCTCGATATTCTTATTAATATTATTGAAAAAATATTTAAAAAATTTGCTTCTTTTACATTTTTGTAAATTTATAGATGTTATTAGACTTTGTTCCTAATGACACTATTATGACATTAATGATGTGTACTTACCACTTTACGTTAATAAAATTAATCCCATGTATGTAAATAAATATCCAAATTTTGTAGTTGTAGATTTCGAATCAATGTTTAAATTATATATACAACAGCGAAACTTCTTCAAAAATTCCAAGAAATTTAATTTTTTTGTTTTTTCGTTATTTTTTGATAATTCAAATAGCAATTACTTAAAAATTCAACACAACATGAAAATTGGAGCAATTTTCTACATGACACAAACTTTCAACATTTTTAATCATACAACTATTTTCACATTCCTCTTGACTTTTTATCCATTTACTGTGTTGTTTTTTAGCTTTTTTCTATAAATTTCTTTTAGTTTCAAATCACGATTTTAGAATTAACAAACAGTATTAAAACATTTGAAATTCTTTTAACCTTTTAACACACAATATAAAATACAGCGAGCGAAATTAACAGATACTATTTTTTTACTACGTTCACTCGTAACTCACAACAATGTTTAAAACAATTCATTGTGGCATGCAACAATTGCCAAAGTTAAAATAAATAACATAAAAAACGCGAGCTTTAACACTGGGTGCCAGCAATATTAGTTCGTAATGTTATAAAAAGTATTTCGTTGTATAAATCCGTTTTAAACAACCGTCAACGATAAAAGTCCAACAAAGACTGAATGTCATGATCAGAGAAAAATTGTATTGCTGGTGGTTGCTTGCTTGCTTGCTGGCTGGCTTTCTTTCAGCTTTACCAAATCAAATAAACAACAGGAAAAAAACATAAATACAATCTGCTGCAGACTTGTATACAACAAAAGTAATAATAAGCAGCAACTATAAACTCCAAAACAAGTCAAATGATCACCCTGTTGGCGAAAAAGAAAAAATAAGTAACAACAAGTGGCAAATGTTGAGATCGCACAAATGCTTAACGTTTTAGATGTTTGGCTTATAATAATTACGAGTGCAATCTGAAAATGTATTTTAAAAAGTAACAGGGATGTGATTAATTACAGTTTTATAGTTTAGTACAAAACCGCATATGGCTTTGCGATACGGCCAATCTAATATCTGAGATGGTGTCCTGCTGAAACGAAATCTCAAGGGACAATTACCTTTAAAACACTAAACACCACGAAATATGCCATCAACCCAAGAAGAGTAAGATCGGATGAGGCACTTCGGTCAGTCGTGAATTTTAAACTTAGATAGGAAGTTAGTTAGTTAGTTAGATAGATAGATAGATAGATAGATAGATAGATAGATAGATAGATAGATAGATAGATAGATAGATAGATAGATAGTTAGTTAGTTAGCTAGTTAGTTAGTAGTTAGTTAGTTAGTTAGTTTGTTAGTTAGTTAGTTAGTTAGTTAGTTAGTTAGTTAGTTAGTTAGTTAGTTAGTTAGTTAGTTAGTTAGTTAGTTAGTTAGTTAGTTAGTATTAGTTAGTTAGTTAGTTGGTTAGTTAGTTAGTTAGTTAGTAGTTTCGTTCGTTCGTTCGTTCGTTCGTTCCGTTCGTTCGTTCGTTCGTTCGTTCGTTTCGTTCGTTAGTTCGTTAGTTCGTTCGTTCGTTCGTTCGTTTCGTTCGTTCGTTCGTTCGTTCGTTCGTTCGTTTCGTTCTTCGTTCGTCGTTCGTTCGTTCGTTCGTTCGTTCGTCGTTCGTTCTTGTTCGTTCTTCGTTCGTTGGTTATCGTTCGTTCGTTCGTTTTCGTTCGTGCGTTCGTTCGTTCGTTCGTTTCGTTCGTTCGTTCGTTCGTTCGTATCGTTCGTTCGTTCTTTCGTTCGTTCGTTTCGTTAGTTCGTTCGTTCGTTCGTCGTTCGTTTCGTTCGTTCCGTTCGTTCGTTCGTTCGTTCGTTCGTTCGTTCGTTCGTTCGTTCGTTCGTTCGTTCGTTCGTTCGTTGTTCGTTCGTTCGTTCGTTCGTTCGTTCGTTCGTTCGTTTCGTTCGTTCGTTCGTTCGTTCGTTCGTTCGTTCGTTCGTTCGTTCGTTCGTTCGTTCGTTCGTTCGTTCGTTCGTTCGTTCGTTCGTTCGTTCGTTCGTTCGTTCGTTCGTTACGTTCGTTCGTTCGTTCGTTCGTTCGTTCGTTCGTCGTTCGTTCGTTCGTTCGTTTCGTTCGTTCGTTCGTTCGTTCGTTCGTTCGTTCGTTCGTTCGTTCGTTCGTTCGTTCGTTCGTTCGTTCGTTCGTTCGTTCGTTCGTTCGTTCGTTCGTTCGTTCGTTCGTTCTTCGTTCGTTCGTTCGTTCGTTCGTTCGTTCGTTCGTTCGTTCGTTCGTTCGTTCGTTCGTTTCGTTCGTTCGTTCGTTCGTTCGTTCGTTCGTTCGTTCGTTCGTTCGTTCTTTCGTTCGTTCGTTCGTTCGTTCGTTCGTTCGTTTCGTTACGTTCGTTCGTTCGTTCGTTCGTTCGTTCGTTCGTTCGTTCGTTCGGTTCGTTCGTTCGTTCGTTCGTTCGTTCGTTCGTTCGTTTAGTTCGTTCGTTTCGCCCCCCCCCCCCTTTTCCATGCCTTTTTCGCTTGCTCTCGCGTTTCTGATCAATGTAGTGAGTAGTACTTGATTCTGAGTCGGTGTGTATGTGCTAGTAGCAAACAACCACCAAGTAACCCAAACAACCTGTAAAACAAAAAATATCAGCACAACAACTAAACAATACAGCATTATCTTTTTCGATCTTCATTTTGGTGAAGAGAATTTAAAAAGTTTCATTATTGTTTTTGGCAAATTTTGTTGATTTACTGTCAATAGAATTAGTATTATTAAGAATTTCTGTCTAAGTAGAGAGTATTTTCTTTCATTTGGTCGTTGATCATTTGTATTGTTTACAACTTTGACTTCGACTCTGTAGATATTCACGTTGTGCACAAAATTTCAATGTGTGTAATGAATTTGTATTTAGTTATTAATGACTTATTGGCGATTCATTAAGATGTTGGTTTCTTTTAAACAATAGTTTATTTATTGTTTTTTATGTTGATGTTTATTTTTATGTAAATATTCTTGTAATGTTAAGTAGCTTTCTACACATAATATATGTCATTCCGATCATATTTCTTATTGACATACATAAATCATGTAATTTTATTGTCGGGGCATAACAATTTGGAATTGTAAATCAATCACCGTTGGGCCTGTGAGTGCGTCCTCTTATCTTACATGCATTTCGAACCGATAAATATCCAGTAATGTTTCTAAAGCTAAGCCCCATATAGACCCTATAGTTCTCGTACATATCGATTTACTTAGTTGAATTTGTCTTCCATGTGGAATTTGTATTTTTCCGGTATTCTCCTTGTAACAATATTAACCAGTTCCAAAAGTGTATCTATCATTTTTGGAACCCATTTTTTTGAATAGTGATTAAATTTTTCAATAATTAACTAAACCAACATGCTGTGAGAAATTCATACAAACTGTATACTCTTTATAAGAAAATATATTTAGTTCATTCTTAATTCATTTGTTCTGGTTTCAAAATTTCTTCTACACTCCCATCCACTCTAGTTTTTGTGGTTTATTTTGGGGAGGGGGTCACGATAATGATGATAAAGTATTATACGAGAGATTTGGATTCATTCATGCATTTTTTATGATTTTAAATTTTTGTGTTCTTTTTATTTCGGTAATTGTATGGTTTTTTATGTAGAAAAATGCAAATTATATATTTTTTAGTTACTATGTTACATTTTTATTATTTTCAAAGAAATTGGGTCTAGAATGTATGTAATGTTGTGGTGAAATGTTTTGATTGGTATATTTTCAAAAGAAATTTTTACAGCTTCATTAATTCAAGCATTAATTAATTAATATTATTGTAGTAAATCAGTAAGTAAGCGATAAAAGTGAATTTAGAACAATAGTTAAGATACATATAGCATAAATTCTTGGAATACCTAAAACAAAGAAATGAAATAGATATATGATTTATACAAATATGAAGGAAAGTATTTCTTGAAATAGTTTTTAAAAATTCTTTACTCAAATAAGTTAACATTTTTTTTTTTTAAATTCTAGCAGAATATTCCTGGTTTTCAACATTAAATGCAAGGTTAATTAAACTTGCTATCATTAAGCTAATATTTATACCATAATTAAGAATAATTATTTCTAACCTTGACTGCTTTACATGCAGCTGAGTGTAATGAATGAAAAACAAAATTCAACCTTTTCTTTAAGTACTTGAAAAATTACCACCTTTTATGGTGGAAAAATTAACGCACCGTTAAGTTCAATAAATGAATATTAACTACAATTTTAACTACGCCAAATGTTACACTTGTTTAAAGAAAAACACTCTAGAAATCTTCCTCAATGAAGATAAAAATGTTTTTAAAACCCTATGCGAACAAAAATGGTAATTAAATTGTGTCATGCATTAGTTATACAAATGTAAAAGCATCTTTAGCGTAGTTTTAATTTACTGAATGAAGAATGAGTTCTATTTTTCCAATAAATAGTCGCAATGAAAGGTCAGCAAGGTCACTCTTATTAATAAACAATATTGATCAATTAAGAAATCTCTAATCAGTTCGCCAATCCTCAAAGGAGTTTGTCAATTTTCGTATCGAACACGTAAGCGGGTGTCGGTTAGGGAGAGGTGTCGCTCACCAAAAACAGTTTAGTTATGGGGCTTAATAATATAGAACCGGCGGCAAGTGTTTCCCTGTTCGGAAGTCATGTGTCATCGGCATCCCGCGATCATGATCAAAATGCGACTTAATTATGGTGCAGAGCTTAAAAACCTAGAACCAGCGGCAAGTGCTTCCGTGCTCGGGAGTCATGTGTCATCGGCATCCCGCGATTATGAGGAAATGCGACTATCTTGACTTCCGTGGCAACAATGCATCAAGTGTACAACACGCTATTGGAAAAAATAGAAAAGATGAAGAAAACCGAGCATCTTTAATCAACTTCAGCCTTTAAATACAACAGAGACTCCAAAACCTAATATGATAACCATTATAAGAACCTAATCCTAATGATGATGAAGTAGAGGGAATGGTGGAAAAGGCGAATGATAGCAAAACAATACTATCGACTACTAAAAACGGCTAACTAAGGCATAGAGGATGCCCTGAGGAGTTGAACATTGATAAAGGGCATCCCGTCTTACAGAATACTGTAAAATCCAAGTTATAAATACGAAAGAAAAGTTAATACAAATCCAAAGTGGCAAACCACACCGTAATATCCCCGCTCTATGGAACATCGACGTTAAAAAATTCTTTCCGATATTCACTACGATTTGTAACTTCTAAGATTGATGAAACTGGACTAAAATTGTCCGAAAGCATCAAATACTTTTGACTAATATTGGACTGCAAACTGAATTGGAATCTAATCAATTCCAATTCGTTTAAATGGTTGAACTAGCTTTGGAAAAGAGCACTCACCATTGAACGGTTCAAGAGAACTATGAAAGGGGTTGTTTGCGATCGTAAATTGGACACGACTAGACATTTCCGCAAAAACAAATAAGTGCGAATACTTAGAGAAAATCAATGTGAGGGTAACTCTTGACAACGTCACACCTCAGACGACATTCCACATTATGAATATTGCGATTCAAATGTTCTCTGATGGATGGATGATGAATGTGTAGGCTACTTCGCAATTTGTCGGTGAATGTTGGGAGTGTCTCGATCGGTTTCTCTGTTGGGAGTCTCTCATCTTGGGTTCC